TAACATCTTAGTTATTATTTGAAAATAATTTGGAGCAAATCAATAACACCAACTGAATGTAAAATGTTTTAAAGCAGTACATGTGCAACATGAAAGCATTGTATATTCTACATTAAAAAATACAGGAGTATCTGAAATAAAAACAAAAAAATGCAAAGGTGGTTATGTCTTGTGTTTGACACTATCGGGTTGGGTTTGAATAACCTGCCCACGAAAATAATGTCATTCAAATCCAGCTGAATGCACAAAACGGCAACTAACAGGTTGTTAACAGATTGTGAAATGCTAATAAAAATTGAAGTAGCTCGACAGCGAGCTTTGAAAAATAGGTTATATTTGAGAAGGGAACAGGCTGACCCACATTCAGGGAGTGAGATCTTCTAAACCACAGCTAAACTGTGAAGGCTTTTAAAAAAGCCTAAAGCTCATGGAGTTAATAGCAAATTATTGTAGTTAGTTGGATTGAAAATGAACTCAAAAGTAGGGGAAAAATGACACTGATAAATGGAAGAAAAGCTATATTTGGAGCAGTGAATTGTTAGCAATAATAATAATCCTTGCATTTGATGTAGCGCCTTATCACGTGACTGAAACGTCTCAAAGCGCCTCACAGAATATATTGTAAAGTGGAGTGACTGTATTTTGTGGGCGAAACAGTCCAGAACTGTCCCATATCATACACAAGGTCCAGATCTGGACAACCTCCTCTGGCTTTTCACATTTTTTTTTATAAAGGACTCAAGAGGACAGCATTGTTAATACTTTATACTTTAGTGATAAAACTATGTGGCAGGTGACGAGCTTAAGGAGGATAAATAGCATTCAAAAAAATCTGAATTGCATATATGAACTAAAGAATGGTAGATGATTTGTACATCGTGAAAGAATATCCATGGGTACGGATCGAGAAGGTAAAATGGGAAGCTTTGTGTCTGAGGTAGAGCTTTGAACAATGAGCTAAAACAGAACCAGATCATTTTTCACTCCGCATTCCAACACACCCACCCCCTCTCTCCCTCTCACACACACTTTCTTTTCTTAAAATAGTGCAATTAAATTAGTGACCTTTTCAACTGACAACTAATTACACCTTCTGGGTATAATCAGCAATGATGAGCTCTTTCACTTATATTAAGTACCCATTGCTCGATTGGCTCTTAACACATGGTTGATCAACTGCCCTCTATAAATATATATTGTTTATAACCTTCCAATTCTTGCAAGTTCCCCTCACCCGATTCAATATGCTTTCATCACAAATCCCTTTTTCTTTTTATATGCGGCAGGGAATGGCAGAGGGGAAGGAGGTAGGAAGAATTACAGATATTAAATATATCAGCCTTGAGAAGCAAGGTATTTCCACTCTGGAATGGGCAATCTGAATCTCATTCAAATAAAGAATAAGTATTTCAGATACGGCACAGGGCCATATTGATTTATCTTAATCTTAACTTATCCAGCGTTCTGAGATGCTACTATGCATGAAGGGCACTATAAAAATGCAAGTTGTTGGTATTAACACATCAAGGAATTAATCAAAATAAAATGGCAGCAAAACTACAAACATGAGTTAATAATAATAATAATCCTTGCATTTGATATAGCGCTTTTCACGTCGGGAGGACGTCCCAAAGCGCTTCACAGAACACACTGTAAAGTGAATTGACTGTATATTTGTGGGCGAACGCTGCAGCCAATTGCGCACAGCAATGTCCCACAAACAGTCGTAGATTGAAAATGACCAATTTATTATTGTTTTTGGTTTTGGAGGGATTATTATTAGGCTCTGTGTGGAGTAAGGAAACTTGCCCAAGGTTTCGCCCTCTGCCTGGAATTGAACTCAGGTCTCTCACTTGCAAAGCGAGTGCTCTAACCACTGAGCTACAGGACTCCAAAGTCCTACAGTTTAGTCATAACTGTTCAGAATAAATGCCCCATTTTTCCAGTGGAAAAGTATCCAGTTTTTTTTTTCACAATCCTTTGCCCTTTTTTAAAGTAATACAATGACAAAACTGAAATCTCCAATGTTAAGAGGAACATTTGGGGATTACACATTCCATACTCAATAATAGAAATGGAATGTACTGTATGACATGTTCAGTCTCAAGTCATGTTGGGCTGACCTTGAAACTAGTTTTATGAAGCCTCTGAATGATTGCCAGACTTCAAATTTATTATGTTGGGATATGCCACGCATGTTTCTCAATTATGAAAAATTCAAGTGTGGGGACATCCTGTTCCAAAATTGCAAGTATTTTGAGCCAGCAGAAGTGTCATCACTTGAGGTATTGGTTAGCTCATTTGTATTGATCAGGCATTACAACGGTTAAACTAAAGCATCAGATAGTTAAAAGCATTGGGTCAGTGAAGTTTTTTTTAAAAAGGTTAAGTTAACAAGGCATTCACCTTGCCTTTGCTGCCTTTACCAGCACAGATACAATGGGCTGAACGGCTTTCTTCTGTGCTGTAAAATGCTGCGGTTCTAATTCCTATGGTTCCTCCATTCCTTTACCAATAGACAAAACTTGCAACATGACCCAAAATTCCACATATTTCACTGAAGTGGTCATTACATTCTACAAGATTTAATCTTAAAGTTTATCTTAAATTCAATTACTAACACATTTTATTTCTACTAAATGGCTTTGTTGTTCTGTTCTGGGATAGAAAACAGATTTTTGGCATTTTGCTTTCGGTTGTCTTAGCGATCACTGTCAGAAATGTGCTATTTGCAGTCATTCAATGTCCACTGAAGCAGGACTAGAATCCCTAGCATTCAAAGAATACATTTATACAAAAGAGCCCAAGACAACCTCCTGGTATTAAATTCAAGGCTGCACACTAGAGCTGGGTTCCCCAGGAAACGAGCTGGGTGATCCAGATTACAGACCTACGTTGGTGCATATTATTGCATTGGTTCAAGTCAGCTTCTTTCAGAAGGGATTAAGAAAGGAGTAGACGGTCATGATATCACAACCAGTGAAACGTTTCATTGAATAAGTAATGAAACCACTCGAGGCTATACTCTTTAGTGATGAAACCCATGTTGTATTACAGTCCAGGCTAATTTATTTTTCAATACTATCAGTTTATTTAATCCTTTCCTCTCATATGTAATATCTTCTCAGTGATTTATCTCCAAGCTATATATCAGATTTAGAATATTAAAGATTAGCCTCAGAAATATTGTATGTTCAACATTGTTCTAAAAGCAATCTTGTCTAATTTCTTGAAAAAGTTTTGGGATTCTCTATCACTTTCCCAGTATTACCTGGGTAAAATCCCCTATTAATGTTCCATTCTTTCTGCAGGTTACCTTGCATGGTCTCCCTTATAAATTCCATAAGGAGCACCTTCTTACCTTTAATATCTTGGTCCTCAATCAAACCATTTCTGCACCCAAAGCATAGAGATTTCTTGCTATAAGTATCTTTGCATTTGAATATAATGTTGATGTTTCAAAGCACTTCAAAGTTTCTGTAAAGCGTAGTGAATATTTGTATGCAAATGTGGCAGCCAATTTGCAGAGCAATGTCCTACAAACAGCCATGAATGCCCAATTTTATCTGGACGACTTCTGGTCAGGACAAAACCTCCATAGGATCTTAAACAACCACCCGAGCCTCAGGTTAACATTAAAGTCTGATCATGTAATTCTCCTCAAACATGGCCCTGGAGTGTCTGTCTAGACTTTGAGCTTAATGTACTGACACAAGGTTTGAAAACACAGCCTTCTGACAGAGGCAAAGAATGCTGGCAAATGAGCCAGGTTGGCAACTGCTAAATGCAACGCTTTCTCTTAACGATTTTGCCCATCCTGGCTGTAGATGGTTCACATGAACATGCTGACTGTGCATGTAGAGCATTTTTGAATAAATATGAATTTTAATGATCAATTATGGATAAGTGACATGCACAAATGTTTTTTTTCTTTAATGGAGACATCAGTGAACCTTAAATGTTGACAACTTACATTGATTTTGTAACTCCTGGCTCATTACAGGACATTAAAAAAAATGGAAAAACCTGTATAACAATATAATGTCCGCAAAACTAAGTTACATTATTTACATTCCAAAGGACAGTGCTGACAGTTCCAAAAAAAACAAAAACTGCAATACTTAAATGAATATTGTCCCACAGTGCCCAACTGTTAAATTACAAACTCAAACATTTTTACTTAGCTAGTATGTGTGCAGGACAGACTGCATCTGTATTAACAATAATTACAGCTAAACAAGGTACGCCCAAACAAAAACTGCCTCCATCTAAGCTTCACTGGAAAGAAACCAAAATAAATGAACATATATCTTTAATGCCTTAATCGATTAAGAAACAGTCTTCTTAGGTGGTGGTATTTTCTACAGTGGAGAAATCCTAAGTGTGGTTTGACAACTGATCTACAGTACTTAAATCATTTCCAAATCACAGCACTCCTGGCTTAACACAGGTTATTAATTCCATTCACTGGCCTACATACAACTGGTGATTCTCTTCCATTAACACAGCTCTCTCTGATTTTATAATATAATGCTTTATATAGAGGTTGCTAGTTTGTAGGTTTGAACCTCTGCTGTCTAAAGGCCATAACAACTGATGGGAAATGAATTGATTCTTTTCTTACAATGCATTGTCTTTGAAAAGCTAAGCACCTGAATCAGCACAAACAGTAGAAGATATACAGGTTTGACAGCATGGGAGTAAGTTCCCATGGCACTCAGTCAACAATATTTTTAAATGGAAGTTTAAAAAAAACTTTATACAGGGGTCTCACTTCCATAGGATCGATCATTTCAGTTTGTTTCACAAGTAACTGATTCTAGTCTAAATACAAACGGTTGAAATAACATGAAGGGGCAAGCTGTTCAGATAGGATACTGAATGCTGTAGTGCACTTTTTTAAAAAAAAAACTATTTGATCAACTTCCCCTTCCTCTTCTTTCTTCTCTCCTTCCCCCCCCCATCCCCCCCTCCCCCCCAAAGCAGCTTGAGAATTTCCATTTTTATAATATCATGATCTGAAGGAGCAGAATTTATTGCATAAGCTTTATCCTATACATTTTCTTCAATAAATTTCTGCCGATGTTCAGGAAAAAAACTCATGAAATGCTATTTAAGAAATTAAAGCTTAACCATATTTTACAGCCTTAATTCATTGGCAATTTTAGAAGCAATGTTTTTGAAAGCTATGGATGTTCCTGATATTCGCTTAAAACGAACTCCGTTAAGTGACAGTCTCGGCAGTTTGCAGACCTCCATTTCCCACTGGACCAGGTTTTCTGCATGACCATCGCCATGCACGCAGAAGAGCAAGAAACGCTCACGTTGTTCATAATCACAATTATTGGCGTCGAGAACTTTGCGGATCTCCCTCATCATGTCGTTGGGATCCATGGAACTTGTGGTTTTCATACTCCAGGTAAACCTGAGCGAGCGGGGCTTTGCTTCCTTGATCTCGTCTTTTTGATCCCCAGATACATTGCGACTACAGAAAACAATCAGGGAACACAAGGTTAAAATGCACGAGCAAGGCACACTTATATACAATTCACTTTACAGTATATTCTGTGAAGCGCTTTTGAGACGTCTCAAAGACGTGATAAGTCGCTAATCAAATGCAAGGATTATTATTATTACTCCCACAATCAATTCTATTGACTTCTACCCTCAATTTTTACAATTCAGTCATCTGCCAATTAAATGATATTAAGTTCAAGTTCGATACTGTAAGATTTGAGATTAAAAATTTTAACCAGACAGAAAATTCAAACAAAAACACATCCACAAGAAATCAAATTTCCATGAAACAAAAATAATCTTTGGATTCTTTTATTATTATATTTAATATATCCCAAATTGTATCTGTTAATCAGCTTGATTTGCAATATTATTTGTGGATGATATTTTCATCTAGATCTAGAATAACATTTAGAATGTACACACATCTTTGCACAAGCTCAGTGCAACACTTAAGGTTTAACAATTACATCTTTAAAGATAATTCATTTAAAAAATCAATTAAAATATTTAATGGAAAGTGCACAAAGAAATCTTGGGATGATGAGATGGTGTTCATTCAGTACATTTTCTGAAGCCACAGGGTGGAGCTCTGGAGTCATCACCACACACAAGATGCCATCACAAGCAAAAGCACTGGTGTTCACAGGCCATTTAGATTTACAGTGAAGCAGTTGTGTTAATCTCCAAGTGCCAATAAAGTTCGTTATTTCAGCCGATGTAAAATAAATAGGTTAGACTTGTTTTGTAAAGCAAAATCTTCCAAAAACTGCATATCCATCTTGTGCTTCAAACTAATTTGCTACAAAGGTGATATTTTGTACCCCAAACTTCCACCTTTTTTTTGCTCAAAGCAAATAAAGTGGAAATGAGCTCCCATTTCAGCACCTAGTGTCCACATCAAGCACTCAGACAGCTAGAGCAGAACTAATTATTCTGCCTCAATTTGTTTTTAATAAAAATCATCCCCAAATCTGCTGGACTAGTGCTTTCCTACTTTTCGGACCAGACATTTTTCTAAGTAAAATTATTAGCAAATAGGGTAATTTTGTGCCCTATGGGAACTAGATTATGAATCATAATTGGCACAGAAAGTGACCATTTGGTCCATTGTACCTGTGTACCCAGGTACACATTGTACCCATATCGCTGCTGTTTGCCCTTTTTATATCTTCCAAGTTTTTCAACTAATTTAAATTTAAAGGCTGCAACTGATTCATTAGTCATTTGTGGCAATGTGTTCCTCCTTTTATGCTTCTGCCGACAGCCTTCTGAGCTGTACGTAATGTTAAAGTCGGTTGATGTTAATTAAATGTTAAAGGACGGTTGAAGCCTGCAGGTGGAGGAAACTTTCATCCAATCAATTTGGGTTGAATTCAAATCCAGGTCTAAGATACAAAAGCACAGTGTGTTACACACTGCACCACACAGGCCTCTATTCTATGCCCCAATTTTCAGTTGGACTGTCCTAGATTAACAAGGAGAGGGTACACTTATAAAGTCTATAACATCTTCAACTGAAATGCATTTTATTTTTTTTAGCAGGAATGGCTAGATCAAAATCTACTTTGAGTGTACAATATATTTCTGTACACTTAACTACTGAAGTGAATTTATATAAAAAGAATAGAAACACTGGCAAAGCTGTAGAGGGAAAGATTTGAGGCTGGCAGTACAAGATTTATTCTAACATTGCATGACTGCTAAACAAGGTTTCAGAAATAGAACACAGAATCCTATTGTTACCCAATACCCTTCAGTCTTCGCCCAACAGTCCCTTTTACACCACTTATTCATAAATTTGATGAATACCTTAGTGATTGATTTACTCCAAATTAATTTGTAGTCACAATAGTGCTTTTCTATATACAATTTGTACTCTCAGGAGAAAAAAAAATACAAATTTGCAAACCTGAAAATATTATTAGATAAAAAAGGCACCTTTTAACCAACTATTTATAACATACTATTTTGTTTCAATCAACACAATTAGCATAGATTATACAATTAGATAAATTATTAGATAAAAAGAATTTAAGCCTTAAATTTTGCATATTGAGCAACCTAGCACCCGCCTATGTTCAAACACTGGACTCAGTTGTCAGAGAGTTTGCACTGTCCTGTGAAAATACATTTATAACCACATTTCCCAACTGGAACTAATAGGTCCCTTTTGGGATGCAGGCAAACAATTGGTTCGACCAAAGTACATTGATTAAACATATTTATTCTCACCTTGAGCCCTCAAATCTCCCGTTTCTCTCAGGTTCAGTTGGGACCCTCAATGAAAACAGTCCGAAAGCACAAGTGAGTAAAGAAAGAAGAGAATTCTTACGCTTTTGTTAATGGGGATGTGGTATAGCAAGATACTACAGAAGAAATGCATGGGTGATGCAGACAGGAGACATGAATTTTAATGTGATTGATAGAAAATCCTTTTTATTGACCTATACCCAAAACAAAACATAATTATCAGAATATCTTGTGTTAATCAAATTTATTCAGTTATATCACAGAAGAGTTCACTAATGAGTAAAACTGTAATTATTGGAAGAAGATCAGCAATTTGCTTAAGATCAATTAACAACCTTTCCGAAGCAAATATGTTTGTACTTCATTCACATCATTCAGGTAAGAGGCTGCATTGGCTCTCGTAAAGTTGAAGTTGGGGCTTCAGAAAGTAAACTAACTCTGTAACTTTCAAGTATATTAACAAATATGTTGTGAATTATACATTTAAAGGGGACCCATATATATATATATTACATAATACATATATACACATATTGTATATATATATACATACACAAAATAATGAAACATTTATTTACTTGAACATTTATTTGAGTGAACAGTAAAGCACAAATACTGGGTGAATGAAACTAAAACAAATTCCAAGTTTCTTGTACTGGACAAGTGTTTTACCTCCCCTCCCAGCCAGTTACCCAGGGGCTGATATTCATGGAATAATTTAAAATTTCAAAGCAATAATCTATTTTTGCAACAAATGCTTAAATTTGTGTATTTCTGTGGCTTTTGATTTTTAACCGCTAACATTTTAAATCAGACAAGAGTTTAAAAAAAGGAATTTTACAAATGCTTGAAAAAGAGGAAAAGTAAAAGGTATGGGGAGCAAGCAAGAGCGGTAGTCTGTGTGAGAAAAAAGGCAAGTGGAAAATTTGATGGACCAATGGACGAACTATTTCTGTGCTGTAACCAATGATTATTATTATTATGAAAAAAATTATATTAAGTGATGCTCTGCTCAACATTGTAGCCAACTCCATAATAAAAAATCTAAATTAGACAACCACAAACAAGATTTTTGAAATAAATTTTCAAACTTTTACCAAATATAGTAAGGATTTTCAAATTTGATTTGTGACTGAAACACTTTATTTTCCATCTTCCTACATTCCCCAACCCTGTATTTGCTGTACAACAAGTTGCTGCTTAGCAAATATAGTTATTCAGATAAATACAAGCCTCAATACAGAAATCAATCAATTTCTGTGTCAATATCCAATCCAGAACACTAACAATCCAAAATAACCCTTCATCAAAATCCTGAACCAAACCTAAAAGTTTCATCTCATTTTTTTAGATAATTTACATTTAATATTTCTATCCAAAGTAAGCATTTTTGTCAATTTGATCCAGTTTGATCAAATTGCTGACTAATACTGTAGCAGGTCATAAAAGGTGTACAATACCAACATTTGTAGTTACAGAAGTCATGATGTAAGCAGAACAATTCTTGGCAAACAAACATATTCTGAATTAAACCACAACTATCCTATGCTGGCGTTTTTGGTGCTTTAAAGACACCTAGTGGTGACTAAAGGGTAAACATCGTCAAATCAGAAAATAATGACAGATAGACATCAATCAGTTCTTGAACACCTCTGACCCTATAACTATCAGGAAGGGACAGACGACAATAATTTTGGTTTGCTGGAGATTTTAAAGATAGAATATGCAGTCATAAATGCAGTGATTTCTTTTAAAATGATTCAAGTTTTTTCTTAAACATATTAAGTGGAATACACTTTTTTTTTCATCTTCTCTCATACTCTTTTGAATCCTTCATCCTTCTTCTGGAGTATGTTTAACATTAACCCTCAGGTACCTCACCCAAACTGCATTCTTGACGAATACCAGCAGCCTATTCAGCCACGGGGGCCATCACCAATTCTATCCTCTCAAGAGAGCATGTGTACACACAATCTTCCAGAAGGGATTTCTGGATACTAATCAGTAATGGGTATTTTGGCTGATTTCCTCTTTTTTTTAAACTGAGCTCAACTGCAAATTCAACAAACTCAGGATGTGAATCTGCAACCCTATAATCTATATGGACTGCATGTAAAAAGTGTATTCAGAAAAGGCAAGGAAATGGTATCAAAGCCACACCTCCTGTGCCTTTCATCACTAAATTATCAGGACATCATTAGACTATGATTTATTTTATTCTATATCCACATCTTCCAGACACCTGCAATCCTGCTTTTAAAGACCTGTACATGTCATGCCAACGCCCAGATCACGATTACCCCATCCCTTGAAACAGGTTACCATTTAGATCCATGCTACATGGGTATTGACAAAATGTACTACCACAACTTTATGCTGTGCAATTTGCCACATATCTGCCTATATACTAGATTTCCATGTTCTCCTGCATTCTTCTGCAGTGTGCCAGGTCACCTAATGAACTGGAATTACGTGCATCTCCCATGGCCATAGCATATGTAGATATCACTCAAGGCTGTAACAAATCTGTTGTTAGTTAAAACCTGTATGCAACATAGTAATACATTAACTGTCAAAGATAGTATCCATTTGGTTATCATTTTCAGGACATCAAATTCTGAAGCTGTCCTTTTAATATCCAATACTTCTGTGAATTTGATTGCCAGTCATTTACTAGTTTGCCTACTTAATACAATAGACGCCAAAAGAACGATAAGGAAGAAATCAGAAACGACTAAGGAGATTGTCAGAATCTAGATCCACAGCATCCCGACTTGTAGATTTTACTTGAAGCACAATAAAGCTTCATTTTATATGATTCTGCAATGTTCATTTCAGTGGGTACTTCACACTTCAATGCTTCAGTGGTATAAAAATATGTAATGCTTAATTGCAACAAACAATTTACTGCTTTCTATGACCTGTGCCTTAAGACACACAATTACACAAGTATTTTGTCACAAATGTTTATAACCTACATTGAAATTGTATACATCAGTCATGGCATTGAACTTAGTCAAGATCTTTAAAATGCACTGAAAAGCAATTTGCTGGGAAGTAAGATGGCCTTTCTCCACAGCAGGAAATGGTACAGCTGACACTATAAATAGTACATCCTGGTCAGATAATATAGATGCATTAAATATTCTTTTAAGAATAGGTCTAAGATGGGAATTTATATTTATCTGCTGGTATTGACTGGTATTAAGAGTAATTTAACACTTCATATTGATTTCTTAGCACTGTAAAAACAATTCTGCATACATTACAAATCATTTATGCTGCAACTTTTAGAAATCAATTTTAACTTAATATTGTACTTATTTTATATTGACAGTAGAAAACTCCTTTTGATCTCAAATCTGAAAGAGAAGAGGAATTCTAAACATACAGGGTTGGCAAGTGCGTAAGGAAAAAAAATAAATGTCAAGAGGAGGAAAGATTTAGAGGCTGAAGACTTACTAACAGTCTTTGATCCTTGTGGAGTATTGGCAGGCACTGATTTGTTCGAAGTCTGCTGTTTTGATGGGTCAATACTGACCCTAAGAAGAGGAAAAATGTTGGAGAATTAAACTATACACACAGATTATTATTCTGGCAAAAAAATCCGCACATCATGTGCTGGATGGTCCCACCTTAAACAAAAAGTTTATTAATCCTCATCACTGACCAAAGCTGAAGCATAGCTGATTAGGTTTCTCCCTCTCTAGCATGATAACATTGAGGGCAATTGTATAGTGCCCCTGATGTCTCCTCCAACCGAGTTCAGGTTATTTGACAAAATGGGAATCAAACTTGGCACCATTCTGGTCTTTATGGCACAGTTTCATTTTAGATAGTGACTTTACACCTGAGCCATTAGGGGAGCCTACAGACAATTTTCTTTTTGGTCAAGGTAGCTACAGCAGAGAAGCCTAGTGTTTCTATTGACATAAACTGCATTTAAAAGCACCATTCAGTGTACTGCTGAGCCAAAGAGTCGTAGGTGCCAACCCTAAAATCCACTGAGTTAGCTAACCTCAACTGAACTAACAATATAGTTACTACAGTTAACTAGTTTTGAGGGGTTGGGAAAGAGGAGAAAACAAAAAAAGGCCATGAATCCTGTTCCTAATGGGAACCCTATGCTCACTCCTGGTGTTCCACATTAGAAGCTGTGCTTATATGCTCAGACATAAATGACAAAACTGTTAAAAGTTAAAACCTTCAAAGATGGTGGGAGGAAATTCACGAGGAAAAACATACTAGGATAAATCTAAAAAGGTTACCAATTAAATGAGTGTGAAATGCTATTGATATCTAAAAATCACAGAACAGGGTCTTTAACCAGGATTTCATACAGACGGAGATCTGAAGATGGCAATTACCGTCACACTGAGCAGCATATTAGAGCGATTTACATTAGTATCCAGGAAGGAAAAAAAACTAAATTGATCAGGCAAGTAGATTTAGGAATTGGTGGAATTTGTCTATCAGGTTTCTAGGGGCACAAGATGCATTTTGCATTTACATTCAGCAATCCGATAATAACCTGATTTTAAATGGGAGGAGAATTTTATGCTTAAAGACGTCAGCATTGAGAAATTTTCGACTGCTGGCATCTAACAATTACTGTCCCGGTATAACATAAACGGCTGTGGAATCTAGTTCTCTCCTCAACATTGCTCCAACAATGCCCCTGAACTATAGCCTCTGAAAACCATTCTGTATGGCTCCACATAAATCATACTTCTAGCTGGTGTCAGATTGCCAAATTTAGTCAGGAAATTAGCTCAATTTTTTTTTATTTATCCAAATCTCTGGTCACCTGCAAACCCAACTGTGGTAACTTTAATCTTAATTAAAAGCTGTGCTACCAATAATCGTACATTACAGAATTAAAAATTTGGAATGAAACTTAGTTGACCTTCAAAAAGAATCAAAAATTCAAAACTATTCTACATCAAGGTATTATAGGAGCACTGTTGTAAAATGAATCAACCAACAGAATATGTTTATTTTGTTACCAATTTCTGAAGCGACCACTCAAGTTTCTTTAAATAGACTAGTTTAATTATTCATTTCAAAAGCAAAAATACTTTTGAGGGACTAAAAGTTTAATATTCAGAGCATCAAAATTCAGCACATTTAAATAAATTACATTCCTTACATTAGGAGCGAGAGTGAACAATTTCATTAGGGACAGAACAGGTGGAGCAGATATTTTCAAAACGTAAAGCACATTTCAGATGTAAAAAACTCAAAACTGCACTAAATAGATCATAGAAAGTTTACAACACTGATGGTCATTCAATCCATTATAAACATGCTGGTGATCCTCAGGTCCCACCCGCCACCCCACCTCCCCCCACGCAAAAAAATGGAGCTTTCTGCTCTAAATCATTCCTCTGTTCTTTTTTCACAGTAATCTTCAATCTTTGTTTATAAAATAAATGAAGTAAAATTATTAAAACTTGCAAGCACACCTGAATGAAGCAACTTGAGCAAGTGTTTGTATATACAGGGATATTTTTTAGTAATGCTCACCAGTTTTCTATTTAGGATTTTGTTAATGTAGAAATGCAAAACCTCAAAAACTGAAATATTTAATAGTTGTTAAAAAATTACTGATCTTGCTTCATCAAGAAGATATTACTACTTTCCTTTGGTCAGTGATAACGAAATGCTTTGCAGTGATCAATGAGTCTACAAGTATCAGAAAATCTTTAGACAAAATTCCCCCTTCAAAAAGTCACTGTTCTCTTAAAATCAAAATGTTCTGAAATGTAGCTCTGACTGGTCTGTAAATCCCTCCTCTTATCTGGACATTTTATACATTATTACACACTGAATAGGTTGGGGGGAGGGGAAGAAATGGATGAAAAAAGTTTGTGGGGAGGGAATAAAATTATAGAATCTTCTGAACATGCACTCAACAAAAAAGATAGGACAGGGCTAAAAATAAACGTGCTGCAGTACAAGCATCCTTCCCAAGCTACTGATGCAATCCTAATCCTTGTATCCGGTTTGAAACCATTTATGCTTCAGAGCACCACTAACAGCCATACAACCACAAGGGTACATTTCGTTTACAACTGAATTCCAAGTTTACCAGCTATAAATATCTGCTCACTATAGTACAAGGTGAAGGTTATAAAGCAGTGTTTAAAATCTCCACAAAACACACACATTACAATGGGATTGTTAAGTTGCTATCGATGTCCTTTACAGTGAGGATACGTCTGCTGTGTGCACCAACCTGGCAAATTAGATACAACCATTTTATTGGGGAATTGATCAATAGAAGTGATCATGAGTGTTGACACAGCAGGTGGCTGGTTTCCTGCACTGTACTTCTGGTAACCACCAGCCAAAGGCGATCCGGGTAATAATAATAATTCTTGCATTGATATAGCGTCTTATCATGTCTTCGAGATGTCTCAAAGTGAATCACAGAATATACCGAAAATTGAATTGATGGACGAAACGCGGCAGCTAATTGCGCATAGCAGTATCCCACCAACAGTTGTGGACTGAGTGACCAAATTATTATTTATTTATTTTTGAAGGGATTACCAACCCCAGAAAAGCCATCCGCCAATCAACTAACAACCAGGTTCTTACTTACTGCTAGGTCAACAGAGGCGTGTGGAGTAAGGAAACTTGCCTAACGTTCCATCCTGCAGGCTTGCATTCCTGTGAGGCACTTAAGTTGCCCTGTATTCTTATTATGCAATCGAAAGAAACAGAATTTTCTAATAAATTGCTGAAAATAGCAGTGGGAGCTGTCAAGCTGAACGGCTGTCTTGAGTAAATATGAAAAGCATGGAATGAGACGAGGGCCAATCAGACCATCAAATTTGTTCTTTTGTGAACAATGTACAATCCAGCCCATCGTGAACTCGACGAAATCCATGTATGCTGGGTGTAGTTTGCAAAATTCACCAGTATTACCATGCTGGAATCTGCACAGAACTGGACAGCAAAATAGTCCGAGGGAAGAGGAGGGAATGGGACAAAGGTGAAGGAATCTGACAATCTCGTACCACCCTCTGGCTCAACTAAAAGTTTATTTTATTGATATCTGTCACTTATCCGGCAAAGATAGTACATGTGGTTACCAATGACGTTATACTCGTAGGATATGCAACATCATATACATACAGAGTCAGTCCTGTCATTGACATACACTTTCTGTGCTGAAAGCCATACATGTGCAAATGCCAGCCCAGAGGGAAACCAGCACAAGTAAGGAAGGAATATCCCATTGTCTGCACCTTCCTTAACTTTTGCACTGCTCTTCCTGCTGGATGCATGAGTTAAATGCTCCCTTAAGCTCTTATAATAAAAATGTGAAAAGATTCTTCTGATTTATCCTGCACCCCAGATAAAATTGCATAGCTACGTGATGCAAAACATCAGATTTGAGTCAGCAAATGTATACCAATTATCTCTTATGAGATTCAACTGTAGGACAGTGCATCAACTCAATCTTTTGATGCTCCACTTCCTATTTACAGCAAGTCTACTGCAGTGCAGAATGTAAAAGCCCATTTTTCAGGGGAAAAAATCCATTAAATGCAGCCCAGTGGAACCACATCATCCTTCTGACACAATCAGGACAATGATACCCTAGGGAAGGTGATAGCAACAAAGCTGCATTTTTTTTTGGAAAAAGGTATAATGACCATTTTTTTAAAATCTATGTACCTACATAGATTAAACCACAAATCCAGGAGCTAATATATTTTACTTTTAAATCCTAGACATATTCTCATATGGCAATGCGTCAAGTGTTGAGTTGTAACGCCAGCCTTTTCTCCCCTCAGACAACGCTACCTAATTGACTACTGAGGGGTTTAAATTTCCAACCTATAAATCTTTCAATACACATAAAAAGATTTCAGTAAGCCACATTAAGAATGTGCACTTTCACCAAACTGCAGAAAGCTCACTCATGTGTTATCAAGCACTGCTTTCCACAAAAGGGAAAACATTCTTTCTACCGTAGTGCAGCCTTTCATAATATACGGCAAGTTTCCACTCTAAAAGAAGTACTTGGAAGTCAAAAATATTATGGAATATTTTGGTCTGCTGCCTGAACTCTAAATGATGCACATTAGTTGAAGTCAAATTTGCCCCTGTACATAATGGCAGCTTCCGTCTCCTTTCAGAAAACACAAATAAAGTAAGTACATTATAGATCCAAATTCTGTGCTTGTTTAATGAACTCAATACTAAGAAAATGTTAACATAAACCCCACTCATGCTTGGTGCATTAGTATTAAATCAAAATTGTTCCAATCTTCAGTTAATTGTGAATTCCAATCAACAGTGAGTGGATGAGCATGCACAGCTGTAAGTATTACTAGAACTACATTACAGTGCCATAATCACCGGAGATGAATGGTTTAACGGTATACAGTCTCACTAAATAAGCAAGTGATAGCAACTTCTTTCTTTATAATTAGGAAGTCACCCGGTTACAAAGCCCACTAAACAAGTTTCTGGTGATATTGCAGACAAACCAATTAGATTTTAATTCCTACCTTTTGGAAAACCTGAAAGACATGTTTCTAAATTTAAAAAAAGACACCAATGAGAAGCAAAGAAATAAAAATAGAAAGCAAACCTAAACATACGCTGTGCGAAAAATGCTGCTTGTTTGATGCGCAAATCAAACAACAGTGGTGGGAAAGATGGTGTGATGGGAGGATAGCAACACGTCATTACACATAAAGGCCAGCTACGATTGAAATTTAGATTCCAGTCATCTAGAAATGTATAGCTGCCCCCAACAGACCAGTCAGGACTAGCTCCATCCAGCTTTAGATACATTTCTTCAGCCTCCATAAGCAACCCAGTTTAAAATGATCATACATTATTTTGGCAGTCATTGTCGATAGGTGAAAGATGCAGTGATCTTCAGAGGGTCTAGTATCTAGGGTCATTTATAATGCAGTAGACCAAGTACTGCTAAATATACAATATATGCAGTTGAAGATCATGTGCATAACTTAAACAGCCACTGAAAATTGTTATTTTACAATCATCAGAATGCCTCAACTTGTACCAAAAAACAGAATGCCTGAAATTACACCAAAAGACACATTCATGTAAAACATCCTCTTGAAACACTGCATTTTTCACCAAATCATGTTATTACAGTGCAATGATTGCAAACAATAACTAAATTCCCAGATAACTGGAAAACATCACTTGTGGTGAAGTTCAAAATGCTTCAATGAGATTATGAGAACGTATCTGTACAGATATCTATCTCTGCACATACACAGATAATTATTTGCTGTAATCTCAAAGGTTAAAATGATTTAGTGGGAGACTATCAATTATCACGGTTTTAGACAATTAATAGAAACAATGAGCTGTAATTCACTTAGCAGAGCAAAAAANTCCAATTTAAAACTCTCTTTAAACAATGACTGAGCAACTATAAGTCAAAATGGAGTTTGAAAAATAAAAAGCTTGCAATTCACACTACGTAGAGCTTAAAAAATACATAATGCAATCACTAATTCAACCCATTAGGAAACAATATAGTAATGTAGTAATTTTATACAACAACGCTTAGAATTCAAATATGGCCCTCTGGTTCTATAGAGTGCTGCAACTCAATTAGATAGCCATTTACATCAAAGGAACCTGGACAATTTATGGCTAATGGTCAATTTTATGGAGCAATTGATTCAGCAAAAATGATGGCTTCCAGACAGTCACGTTGAAATCAACGCTGGGAGCTAAAACTTCAATGTAAGAGTATGAAGATAAATACTCTCATTTCATGCAGTGCCAAATCACAAGTGCTTCACTCAATGCATTTGTTATAAGCAGAGTAATGGTTTTGTAGACAAAGATAACAGCTCGACAAACGAGATAAAAATTGGCCATATTACCAATATTATTGCCATATTTTAGTGAAACTGGATGATGGATAAATATTGGCGAGGACATCTTGCTCTTCGAAATAGTGCCACTGGATCTAATAATTCCACTGGAAATATTGAAGATGGCAGACAGGGCCTTGGTTTAACCTCAGTCAAAGGTGAGACACGAGAATGGATGTCCATTAAGTATTTTTTGCAAGCTCCATCACAAACTTTTAACCAATGTTATTCCAATTTTGCTTCATAACACTTAAGGTCATTTTCTGCTTTTATACAAAACCGTGCATGCACACATACCTTCTTGTGAGTTTTGAAGTCAATTTACTAAAGAGATTTGTAGACCCCCTACTTCGCGTCTGAGACAAAGGAGTAGCGTCATGAGATAACGTAGGAGATGCAGGCGGTCCATTATATGTAGCATTGCGCCGTTCCCGGAGCTGTCCGCCATGGAAAGTGCTACGGCTTGCAGTCCCTCTGGGGAAACGCATACGGTCAGGGGTAGTGGCACTGCTAATACTGTGGGTAGAGGTCACGGGAGTCCTCTGACCTGGAGCAGTGCTACAAGGAAACACATGTTTAACAACTGTAATAATTAGCTAAGTAATTACGATTATAATTTGGAAAGCTGAAATATTATGCAAAATACTAAGGACTTTAACTGCTCTTTGCATTTCTACTTCTCTACAGCTAATTTCTAACAAACACTGTCAAAAATAGGTACACATTAGAAAATGTATTAAACCAACTTCCATGATACATTTTCAATAATTTGGTAAAGACAGAAGCATGACATTAATTTTGGCTTAAGTTGCAAATATTAATAAAGGGCTAAAGTGATAGTACTAATGTGTAAATATTTTATTTGAATGTGAAATTTAGAATTGCAGAAACAAGACGAATGTAAAATCCGAGCATAAAAACACAAACTGAGCTCAATTAAGCAATGAGGACATTTTTTTCTGCAGTGCAACATACATCAGAGGAATTTACTGGAGGGGTTAGTTTAACAATTTAATTTGCACTCGTCAAATTATACTTACAAAAGCCACATCTAGACGTAAAATGAATCTGGAGAAAATTGACATTAGTGTTGCAGTGAAACCTGTGTGAACAGTTCACAATTGAAAACTAATCTTTATCATGGATGCTTCTTCCAGGTGGAGTAATAAGAGATAAATCATTGTTTTGATGCACTGCTAATATTAATATCAGATTACTATTTTCCACCACAAAATGAATTCAGTTTGTGTCATTATTACTTTCCAAATTCAATTTATTTAATTAAAAACAAATTGTTGATGTTAACATTGCCTTTCATTGCAAATGATGTTGGTTATGTAAAGGGTGCAGTTTTAAGACAAAATCTTCAGCACTGGGCAAATGTGGCCTTTGAAACTAGCTTGCTGCTAAATACGTGCAACCACTTACACAGATGCAATCACATACAGTAGAATGCCGGTTATCCGCATGTGCATCTGCTCTGGACTCTAAATCAATAAGCCTGCGAGATACCACCAAAATAAATTGGGAATATACACAAATTTGCATGCATGTTTATTAAGGACAAGATTAAGTCACTCTGAGCAAGTAAATGGTCTTCCTAGTAACCTTGTGTGGAACTTCACATGAGTGCAATAGAATTTTCTATCTGGTAGTGTAAAGGTGTTTACGGTACAACTTTTGTGCAGTATTGGATTAGTATCAGAGTAAGAGATATGCATAGAGATAGAGTAGGTCAGAGTGAGAGAGAGAGAGAGGGAGAGACACAGACTCAGATATTCAGAGCGAGTGAAAGGAAGCCTGAAAGAAAACATTTGAGTAAGAGTGAAGATCTGACACAGTGTTACAATATTTTAGTTAGCACTGTCCCCAATTTGCATTATGTCCAATTATCTGCACCGTCAGCTTGCGCAAGATAGGGCCAGACCCAATTAGTGTGGATAATCGGCTCTACTGTACATGAAAAATGAAAAGACAGGTAAATTTAATGAGTTTCTCCTCCGTTTGCTTACTTAGGCCGGATGTTATCTGCTTCACTGTCTATTGGAGGCATCATCTTGGCAGTGTACCCTGCAGCCGACATGGACATCGACTTCTGATGTCGCAGTCGGGTGGAAGTGGAAGAGGTGGTAGAAGCGGATGTAGATGCAGATACATATGCAGAACTAGTCGCACAAGCAGACATTTCTGTCAGGCTGCGATGGAATATGGTTCGAGTAGAGGCAGAAGCAGACAGAAGAACATAATGGAGCACACCGTTCAAAAAGTGCAAATTAAAAAGAGTAAACACCATGCCACTAAAAGAAGTTAGCTGTGAATTTTCCCCTTTAAATTAAAACACAAGAGTGAAGACAGAAGAAAAAAAAGCAGCTTAAAAACCAGCAAAGCATCAGCAAAACATGCTATAATATCAGTACTATGAATAGGTCAATTTCGGGTGTAAAAGTTAATAAAGTAAAAAGCTTTATTGTAAGGGATATATAGATGCATTTTTTCCTGTGAGGTGCATATGAAATGTTCTACTTTAGCTGTCGGCAACTCAACAGACTGGTCTGAATTTTTACGGGTTCAGACGAACTGTTATAAGAGAATGGATAGCGACACTTTGCAACATGAAGTTTGGACAGTGTAATCAATTACCTGTTCTCCTTCCCATTCTGTAATACTGAATGCCTGTCTGCATTTGTTCTTTCACTACAGACATATGTGTTCCTTCGTGTCATTCCTCCAGACACCGCATTGTTCTAAAGGCAAGTACATAAAGGAAATGTTCATTTCTTGAAACTCCTTAAGAGATGCTTTTGTAACTTCACCAGCCCAGTCCACTTAAGCCTCTTTCCACCCACTCATTTTTCCTTCTGCTAAGAGGATCTGACATCTTAAAACGTTTCCCTTAAAAGGAAAGTTTGCTGTAGTCATAAAACCATTACTAATGTTTAGAAAGCTCATCTAATAATGTGCATTACATGTAAATGTAGGGTTGCACTGAGTACTTACACTGGGTACAACAGAGCTCTTTTTCCGGTCAGGAATCTCTGCTTTGTTTGGGTTATTAGCATTTCCCAACATGGGGCTGGGAGGAGCAATGCCCCGCCCTCCAGCCGTGGTGACGGTCTTCCTCGAGTGACCCTCTTCTTTTAAGTCACTATCCGCAGTACTTGTTTGGCTTCTCTTTGGATAGGACACCACTGATGGAATAGTGGGTCCAGCTTTTTTTTAAAAAAGAAAAATGTTTTATAATTTATTAGAAATCACAATTTATATTCAGTTATAAGTCAAGGATTTTGCTTGAATCTAATCAACTTCATCCTCATTCGGTCCCACTGGCTCCCCAAACTCCAGCAGTTCGAGTTCCTAACCCCAACTTAAAATCCTCGGCTTTTCAACCTCTATAACCTATAGATCTGGTCATTCCTTGCCCTCAGCTAACAGATGCCTGCTTCATGTCCTCACACCATCAGCTTCTGCTTCACCATCAGCTATTCACTCTCTGGACCTCCTTCCACCTCACAGTTTCCCTCCACATCTTTAAAGCATACATCAAGTTCTATCTTTCCAACTGTCCTTTCAGTTACATGCTACACGCGTCATACTTTGTATTAAATCTAAAGTCTAATATGAACTTAAGTTCTTAAAAAAACAAGCTTTGTTGAAATATTAATTATAGCTAATTTGATGTACTCACCATGGTCACTATATCGACGTTGCTTTTGATTAGCTGATATGCTTCTTTGGACCTTGTGGTGGGAAGGAGATTGTCCACTGCTATTGTTGAGATCGCTGCTTGGCCTAATCTTAGCTAAGGAAAGGTTACTGCTGGAGCTTGAATCACTGACTTCCAACTAAGAGGGTAATGAAGCAAGTTAGTTTAAAAATGAAAGTATAAAATCAATGCATTAAAAACAGTGTTTTGAATTTTCTGCTCAGTTTTGTTCAAATAAATCTACATTGCTACTCACTTAGGGTAACCATCTCTGAACATTGTAACTATTCAGGTACGATATCTCTAATATTCAAGAGCAGTAGTTAGAAATATTTAAAAATATTTTACAAGGATCAAATATTAATTACCATCTAAATATGACTTATTTTCACATAACCGTAAAGACTGTTAAGTAAAGGATTTCCTTGATGATAGAACAGTAACTATGAATTTAGCCTAAGTCGCAAAGTTATTCCTTTCTTTTAAACAAAACATTGTGTATCAAATACTTTCAGTTCCACCTATCCCAAGTACTGCCTTCATGGAGTTTCTTAATATGACAAAACAACATCTTTAAATCTACTTATATTGAGTTGTCACTGGGTTCTCTTATAGCAACTGACACAGGAGATCAAATTCAGTTGCATCAGTTGAGAAAAACTAAATTCAATCCCTGTAGTATTGACATTTAGTTCTATTCCAAGCCAGAACTGGCTCCAAACAGCATCTGTCAACAGTCCAATACTGAATGTTCAGGGAGAAAGTTGAGCCACAGATAAACAGCATATTGAATTGAAAATATACGTGCCCAAGCAATAAAGGAACTTTTTTAAGGGCTCATTCTGAACAAGGATTAGGAAGTGAATTTTCCAATGCAACTATTCTATCATTAGTTACTTGGGAACTCTTCGATTCAAGATAGAAGATATTTGAAACAAATAAGGATTCAACCTACAGAATAATGCAAACTTGGTATCAGAAAGAGCAACAGAAGCGTTTGCATCATTTGAATCAGTGTTTAAATCTTACTTCTACAAATTCCTAGAAAGCAATGGGGAAGAATCATTGCTAATGATAAAAATCTGAGGATCAAAATAAATCAAGGAAAGTTTCACTCCACTTATCACTTCTATGTAAAATGGAGGTAGCAGTATTTTAAATAAACTACTACCTCTACCAGATATAGTTCTGTCATCTTGAAATAGTATTAACAAATGATTATTCATTAAAATATGAAAATAAAGCGTTAGGTAAGAATGCTTCCAATTAGACCAAAGCATCATTGAGATAGACACTTTACTCTAAGAAAAATTATCTTAAGCGGTCTAATGGTTAAGTGTTTCATGAAAAATTAATGAACTGGATAAGGTGATTCTGAAACAACAACAACAAGATTCCATTTATTGAGCGCCTTTCACGTCGGGAGGACGTCCCAAGGCGCTGTACAGTTGGGTCAGGACCTGAGCAGGGGGGAAATGGTCAGGGTGAGGGAAGGGAGGGAGCGAGGAGGGGGTAGAGAGTTGAGAGGGGAGCTGAAGGCACGGTCAAAGAGAAAAGTCTTGAGACCGGCCTTGAAGGAGGAAAGGGAGGAGGCGGCGAAGGCACTGGGGGATAGAGTTCCAGAGCCTGGGGGCTGAAAGGTTGAAGGCCCGGCCACCGATGGTAGGGCGGTTGAGGCGGGGGATGTGGAGCAGACCGGAGCCAGAGGAACGGAGGATACGGGCAGGTATGTAGGGGGATAGTAGGTCGGAGAGGTAGGAGGGAGCAAGGCCGTGAATGGCCTTGTAGGTGAGGATGAGGATCTTGAATTCGAGTAAAGGCAGTATAGTGGCTGTAAGCATTAGTGCTCTCACATTAAGTACCATGGGATCAATCTCTCACGCACGTAGCTCCCAATATAAACAAAGGTGAATGAAGAACTGCCAAGTGAATCCCTGTAAGGGATCTTATATGGCAGTAGTACCTGGTGTCTCCAGCCTAGTGAAAGACTTAAGATCTATATTTGCCTGCCCTCAGAAGCAGACTAAAAATGTGGATAACCACAATGGAAAGCTACATAAACAATGCAAATTGTATTGCAAGAAAAAATACTTTTAACTGTTACTTTCATTCTTACCTCATGGGACTTTCTACCCAACAGCAAATATGCCGCTGTAATTTCATCATATTTCATTTTTGCAAGGGACTCCTGGATTTCCTCATGAGTGTAACCCATTCCAACCATTATTTCTGCAACATGAACAACAAGTTTTCAAACGCAGTGCTCTAAAACCTAGAGTAATTACTATTTCAAACCATCTTTCTCCAAACACAAATCTAAAAAGTAGCTAATCCACAAATTTCCTCTCTACAAATCTATGAATTCCCACTGAAATCCATACACTGGTCCTTCCAGAAACTGCTCCATTATGAGCAGGATGTAGATTCACACACATCACATTTATAGTATAAAGCAGAATGCGGTTCAGCACAATAGTTTCACCAAAAGGTCCGAGGTTGAAGGATAGTCTGAAAGAAGAAGGTGCTTTCTCTCAACAATGCGCATGTGAAATTAAAACAGACACGGTCAATCCAATGACCAATAATAATCCCTCCAAAACAAAAAACAATAATAAATTGGTCATTTTCAATCTACGACTGTTTGTGGGACATTGCTGTGCGCAATTGGCTGCCACGTTCACCCACAAATATACAGTCAATTCACTTTACAGTATATTCTGTGAAGAGCTTTGAGATGTCTAGAAGACGCAAAAAGCGCTATATCAAATGCAAGGATTATTATTATTATTATTAACAAATAGCTATTAACAAGTAGCTATGCCCTGAGATATCTAAAGCTTACTAAACAATAATAAAAAGTAATGACAATCTTCAAATCCCATTTACCTATTCTCTTAGGATCTGAAATATCCATTTCTGGCTCCAGAAAGGGTCTAAGTTCATCTTCATCATGGCCTGCATTAATCCATCGATCCTTCATGATTTGCTGCCACGACAGAAGAATTAGCGATTAACTTGTAGTTTAATAACTACAGAAAGATTGTTCTCATGGAATGGGAAAAATGAGACAACCCTGGATCACTTTTGCATATTTTCCTCTGATTGTCAGCATCTTTCCCCCCATATGGTCATTATTCATCATTAACATGGATACTGAGTGTCAGGCTATTTTGAATAGCGATTGATCTAGGAACCTTCCTGCTCGCAGCTCAGTGTCACATAATTTAATGCACTTTAAGAAATTAAATTTTGGGGAAACCCTTTATAATTCTCTTTGATATTCCACTACAGATGTTTGCCATGCACAATCAATGCCACATTTTGTAAATTGCTGCATTAAGAATGTCAGAACAACCAGAATCATACCAGCTTCCATTGTGCTGGTACAGAAGAAAAACATGACAAAGGAAACACTATATTGATGAAAATAATTGATTTTAGTCCAGATCCAGCCAAAGGCATTTTAAACACAAAGGTTTTGGACTTAATTTTTAATGTTATAGTTGAAGCAGATGATTAAATAAACCAAATATAAATGGGCCTGTGGCACATCATACCAATGTTCAAAATATAGGATGGTCTAGTGATAGGAAAGTTTGTTCCCATCATTTCCAAAGGAGTCATGGGCCTAATCATTGGGAGGTACCCAAGACAGCAGGAAACAAAACTAAGCAAGAATGGTTAAACAGTGGAACTGACCAGGAATGCACCATTTGTTATATTTGTGTCTCACGACACTTCAAGTTATTGTGTAACAAGATGATTTCATATATAATTGGGTGGATCAAAGTATATGAAAGCCTTCTTTGGGGATATCAAGAATCTATGATTTTAATCCAAATGTCTTACTTCTAATGTGCCTCTCTTGCATGGATTCAGCACTAGAAATCGTTTGAGGAGATTTTCACAGTCCGTAGACATATAAAAAGGAATCCGATATTTTCCTCGGAGCACTCTTTCCCTTAGTTCCTTTAACACAAAATTCAGAAGATTAATATTGTAATGCCGCCAGCCAATTAAGATGCAATTGAGTTGAAACAACAATTTTGCTGGCCTGCAGGAATATCACACCTGAGCAGGAGTTCAACATCTTTACATGTGCTCGCGAGCAAGGATTAAGAGCTAGAGTGGAAACTCCTGACTTTTCTGTGTTTTTATGGTTGTCCACTTCTTACAAACTGGGCAATCAATCAACATTATTTAACATTTATTGATTATTGCATTGTGAGGCAGAAATTGAAACATTAAAGCGATGAATTACCTTCAAGTTCTGGCCATCAAATGGCAACGATCCACTGACTAACGTGTAAAGTATAACGCCTAAACTCCAAACATCCACTTCAGGACCATCATATTTCTTCCCTTGGAAGAGTTCTGGAGCAGCATAAGGAGGACTCCCACAAAATGTATCCAGTTTATTGCCAATTGTAAACTCATTGCTGAAGCCAAAATCTGCTATCTTAATATTCATATCAGCATCTAGCAATAGGTTTTCAGCCTGGGTTTTAAAAAAAGGAAAAATATTCTAATTTTAAATATATAAACACATGTGTAATGCTCAATCCACAAATGTTAAATGAATAAAAAAATAACCACACACAAAATATCCCTGTTATAACACAGGGTGCCCAGAAGTCGCATGGTAACCAGGCGGATAATAAATAATCAAATATTAATAATCAGCCCTTTGGCATCATCACATCTCTAACTACAACTGAAGACATCACTCTGCACTCACACAAAGAACTGCTGATCTCACAGAACATAATCTAACCAACTACCACAGTCAGGTTGGTACTGCTTTGATATGCATCCAAACCAATTGTCATGAGCAGGTTAGGTTGCACATGCTCAGTACAGGAAGACATCTGTGATCCACCAGGAAGCTTCTTATAGGAGAACCTGAGTTGCAATGAAGCACATTATAATAAGATTGTATTTAGTGCAAAAAAATGGACTTGGATATGCTTGTGCTTATGGCTACTCCTTACCAGAAAGATCGGTTTAGTTGTAACATTAAGTTTGTCGGTCTCCACTTGGCTACCAATAAACTGGCAATTGCATCCCTCCAGGTGCCGGATGCCAATCTGTGGTTAGAACACAACTCAAAAAAACGTATCACCTCTTGGTGCGGTTCAGCCAAATGCCAATTGGTTAAAGGATTAATAACCAGTTAGCATAAATTGCCTGAGGAGGTCTTTTCTAGCAGAGAAAATACATTGGCTCTCAAGGAAGGTGCAAAACAGAATCCTCCCAAGAAGAGAATATTTTCTGCAATTTCCTCCCCCAAAAGGAATTCTGGGGAGTTTAAATCAAAACTATCTATCCCTCCCACAAGTAATGTCAACTTAAAAGAGAACCAAACTAACAGCTTTAAATTTCAGACTTTGAAATATTAAAACCAGCACTCTGTGCAATTGTCTCTAAATTATTATTTGCAGATGCAAGTAAAACACTCATCTGAAAAACAGTTATGCCAACAGGATTGCTCAAAAACGATATCAATTGGCAATGACCTAATATAATCAAAGTCATTCTTATCTAAAATAATTTAAATCTCAAATCAAAAGTTGAATATAAAATGGTGAATGTGATAAATTATTTTGTAGAAATGTGCACACCAAAAATGAAAATACTAACAAGGTTTACTTTGCAGAAGAAACTACATTTTATATTAAGTACCGAAATTAACAGCATATTGAAAACAAGGACTCATTCGGTTTACTCATGTCTGAAAGACCTACCTTAAGATCTCTATGCACAATACGCTTTTGGTGGCAGTACTGTACTGCAGATACTATCTGTTAAAGGAGACAATGGTTAAGAAGATTGAGGCAAGAAGATCTTGCAAGATCCCCCCAACCAATTCACTTGAAAAAGTGGCTCAGAACATGTGCACTCTTCATTTCATGCAATTATTTCCATGTAAATTTTCAGTTACTTCTGCAATGCCCGTTGGTCTCTCTGAAACTGATCACATTTTTTTGGCAGATTCACATTTCTGTACATAGTTTTGAACTTTAGACCAAATAATCTTATAAATTAGTTTCCTGGATTGCAAATCCAATGGCTGCAATAAAAAATTGAAAAGAAGCACAACTGAAAGAACAATTTATCAAAAAGAAAGTACTGAGAAGCAAACAAAAACAAATTCAGGGCAAGGTTAAAAATACTGCTATTGATTTTCTAGGGTAGATCACATCATTCACCAATTTGCGAGCTTTAGACCTACATAATTATCCAATGCTCAAATGTATTTTGGATTTGCAGCGGGGTGATAAAAAGGTCACAGACAAAACTATGCAGGATATGATGAAAACAGGATATTGAGAAATCTTGGCATCCACAAAAATCGAAGAACAACTCTACACAGACTGCATTTGGCAGAAACAAAGTTTCAAGTAAATATTTAGAGTAATAAAACTTAATGCAATAAATAAATCTGTGTGTAGATAGGAAATCATATAGTACACAGAAAGATTTGAGTGCGAAGTTAAGTGAACTTTAAGCTGCACTGTACGGTGGCCAACTAAATGGTGCCAAATGCTATACTAAAATCACCACCTTACATTTTCAGTGCCTTTCATGTGAAATAAATACTTGAAGTGCTTACTGAAGGAAATTATTTAAAATTAATCAATGGAATGATTGTTATGGAGACAAACGGCGTAGCCAATTAATTAGAATTTGAGTGAGTTTGGATGGGAGAAGGAAGAAATTCAAGGCAGATAATCAGGAGGAAAAATCCACATTACTTTCACATAGGGTCTCTTCACATCCACTTGAAGTCACAAAGCAGATGGGAGATTAATATGGGAGAGGGGAAAGAGAATTGGCTCAGCATCAGTACATACTTCAGAAAGGGCATATGAAAGTGATTACGGCTCAAGAAGACTTGGTTTAAGAATTAAACTGAAATGTAGAAATGTTTTACAGCACAGAAAGTGGCCATCAGGCCACTACTAACAGTTTAGTGATTTGTTGCTGCAACCATAATTGCATACACTTTATATATTATATTCTAATTGACATCTTATAAGATGCCTAGTTTAGCACTGTTAGCGGGTACTGTAAAAATGTATTGAGGACCCATGCTATACTTGGACGCACGGTACACCCAACCACACAATCGCATTTCTTATTCTGCAAGTCTGTTAATCTTTAATTACACAATTGTTAGGAAAAGTTAAATAATAGCATCTACCTTAGAAGTGCATTTATTTCTTGATAAGATAAAAAACGTCAGATTAAAGGTTATACGCCACCAGTTTCCTGCCTACACTTGATTTGTCTTTGCAGTTCTAACTTTAGAAGTGCTGCAATTTGCTGGATGTAAGACCACTCATATTTTAGGTGCATTCAGAACAAGGCTGGTGACCTAGAATCTGAAATCTAGATCAAAAGCTAAGAGCATAATTATGGCTTCTTTCTATTCATATCATATTTACATATTTGCCAGAATCACCCTACATCTCATGGACGTAAATTTGTGTCACTATAGTACTGTAAAACAATGTTGTAACAATAGTTACAAGCTGTGCAAGTGCATACCTGTCTGAATTTAGCTCTGGCCTCTTTTTCCTTCATTCTTCCATGAGCAACCAAGTAGTCAAAAACCTCTCCTGTGGACATTTGAAAACAAATGATGTGAACACGTCCATATCCACTGTTAATCTCACAAACGTAAATTTTCTGATAGTTTACTGTTGAACGAATGCCATCAGCACATTCTTTTGGAAAAGGAACAAATGGTCGTCAAAACAGGGGCAACGTAACTTTACATTTGCAGACGTGGAGATGATGCTGCCATAGTCAGGGTGAGAATGGTAAATTTTAAATAGAATTCAGTCCAAGACTTTACGTTATTGACTGAGAATGCGAGAAAGAAAAGATTAATAATAATAAGATTGAATTGCCATGATATATTGGAACATTGTTGCAGATTTTTCCAAACAGCACCATGACGTGTTGCTGCAGGAAACAAAATACCTGCCATCCAACTAACCTCTTGATGAGATCAGAGCATTGTGGTACATTCCTCTCAACACCAGCATCTCAGCAAGTCACTGCAACAAAGGTTGTGTTTCAGCAAGAAGTTGGTGAATAATGAGGGAGTGGTGCTGCATTCAAGAGAAAGCAGGGACATCACAGCTACTTTGCCGTAAAAAAACCCCCCAGCATTTTGCAAGCAGAAGAAAATTCTAATTAAAGGCAGCATCATGGCAAGTTTCCTTGAGAAACAAAATAAGGCACAACTGGTCCTAAGCAGGCTTTGGAGAAAGAAGCCAATGCTTGATAAAGGAAGGATATGTGTGAAGTCGAACTGAAATCTGTTGAAATATTATTCAAGTCACAGTATTATGAATGATGCAAATGTGCTATTTTGTACTATGTATCTGATGTAATGTTTTTAAAGTAAAAATGTAAGATGTGAGATGACAAGGTTGTAATTACAGACTCGCCATTTCTTTCATTTGACCACTTCTTGTTTGTGTACAATCGAATGAACACTGTCTACATTTTCTGCGATACAATCTTGGTAATCAAAATCCTTCACATCTAATACATTTAGGTAGCCATTAAGCACATCAAAAAAAACTACCCTGATCAGGAAATCATCTTAGAAGGATATAGGGATTTATTGTGTAGGATTCTTGTTGAATAATGTATGCAGCAGTTTTTTTTTAAAAAAGTTTGAGACAAAATAATCTTGATATTGTTTATACAGAAAAGCAAGAGCAAGAATATTGAAATAGTAATAATCCTTGCATTTGATCTAGTGCCTTGTTATGTCTTTGAGACATCTCAAAGTGTTTTTTTTTACAGGATATACTGTAAAGTTGATTGACGAGTGTATTCTGTGGGTGAACGTGGCAGTCAGTTGTGTATAGCAATATCCCACACAGCCATGGAGTGAGTGACCAATTTAGCATTTTTATTTAGGGGAATTATTGATCAGGACCAGGGAATCTCCCTTTTCTTTTTGAATAATGCCTTGAGATCTTTAATGTCCACCTGAACAGGCACACGTAACCTCGGTTTAACATCTCATCCGAAGGATAGCATCGCTGACAATACAAACTTATTCATTGATATGCAACATTAAAGGGTTGTGCATTTTATTAACTTTACTACGTACAAGGCTCAGTTTGCCTTACACAAATAGAAGCCATTTTGTTAAAATGAACTGACATTTGAAATAGGTACAGACATCCCTAAGGCAATATGTCCCTAATAATAAGGGCATGCATAACACAGAGTACAGCTAGGGTGATTCAAACTGATCAAGGTCAGCCTTTGGTTACAGTCAGCATTTCCAGTCTGATCGAAACATTCACTCTACCCATGACTAAGGATTCAGATAACAAATTGCATCTATCAATGGTTGGCTGCTCAAGGGTGCATCCTAAAGCTAATTCTGTTCTATACAAGGTCAATATACACAAGGTCAATACATATGGATCAACAAAATTGATCAAAACACATGTGTACAACTTACTGACCAAATTTTGATTATACAGAGGATACTTTGTGCATTATTGTCCCTTCATGTTTCCCTGAAGGTTTTTTAAAAAATATATAAAAATGGCCAACCCATAGCTTGCCAGAAAACATTGCTAATAAAGAGGAACAATTTGAGTTGTAAGGCAGTTAGCATGCAGAAGCAACATTCAACTTCAGAGAATGTTAAGAAAATATACATCGTTCAATTCACTCTTCTGGTTAAAAAAAAACAGAAGATAATTGGGAGTAGTGAAGAAATGTGAAAGAAACAATGGATATCTGCAACACCAAAGGGCGTCACCATCTAGATTCATGTCTGCATTATCACACTGAATTCCCAAACACAACAACACCTTCAAGGGGAAGTGTTGAGGATCGCACTTAAAATCGCAGGAGGCGGCAAAAATTTACCCTGGTACCTTTTCATTTTTTATGTGTGGATCTGAACAATGAGTACTAACAGGCTATTTTATTGTGGAGAGCATCATAGCTCAGGCTTTCCCTTAATTACTAACCACGTACAAGCACTTTCAGCAGGGATGAGTTTATAGCAATTTAAAAAAAAATCATAAATCTTGCACCACTTTTCACCTCCAAAGTCCAATTTGTTCTGAGTCAAATTGTAATACCAATCACCCAGCTGAGATTCGACCTGTGCCCTTTCTAGCCTGCATATCTCAACACACACCAATCAGTGTACTTACACACAGAGCCATCAGTGAGGGTAATAAATCCCCTCCATTTAAAAAAGTTCTGCTCCATAAATATTAGATAGACACCGAAATTTTACTTACCTCCACTTGCATATTCCATCACTAAATAAAGCGTCTTCTCAGTTTCAATAACTTCAAACAATTTTACTAGGAAATAAAAATAGAAAGAAACGTGCATTAATAAATACAAATTTGAAAAAAAAGAAAGCAATCATCAACCCAAAGCCAGTTTCATACAATTTACTTACTACTTGTCTACAAAACTTTTGAGATGTGAAAGCTGCTAAATAAATGTAAGTTTTTTTTAAAAATTAACAAAGCATTAGGGGTTTAATGTATCCATTTGCATATTTGTTTGTTAAAATAAATTCTGAATGATTAAAAATTATTTACTGCCCTTCCCTACCCTATTCAATTGTTGCTTCCACTATCAATCGGCCCATTTTATATCCAGACTTCAGTTGGATCATCAATTTTGGGTAGTGTAAAATTTTTGGTTTAAATGTTTTAGAACACTTTGCCATAGAGCAGCAGTAAACCAGAAAAAGGAGGCAGTGAGTTATGTCATAAAACTGAAGGTGACGCAGGAATGACTAAATGTATGCTGTTCACATTCATTCATTTCCTATTTCAAGCACAGATAATTAATAAGCATTGATATTGTAGAACTAAATATAACTCATACAAATGTTTGTCATTTTAAACTGCTAAGATGGCTTAGCGTTTATCAGCTTCTTTTTTTACACCTCCTTCATCCAGTCATTAAATTTAAACACTAGCAGTGTATCAGTTGCCAAGGAAATGTAGAAGAATGTTTGAGAAAATCCTCAACAATATATCAAAATAAAAAAGAGCTTGCTTCATCTGATTTGATTATTACTATTAGCCTAAATTAATTACACATCAAAAACGTGCTGCAACACTGTCCAAAGGAAATGACTCATTTGTAGGTAATATGCTTGTAATATCCACAAATCATATGTTGAATGGAAGATAAAGAAAGGACGGAGATAGGATTTGAGAGATGGTTTTGGTTGTAAAGTTCACTTGTTTTTCAAAGTCCAGACAGATAGCCACACTGGTTTTACCTTCCCGCTACCGTTCCATCTAGTCTTGACCAAAAGAAAAAGGAAAATAAAATTTCTTAAAACGTTTTAATTCTGTGTTTGCAGACTGCTTTACGTTTTAAAATATGTGGATTATGGCTCTGTGGCTAATTGAATTGCTCTTTCGTCATACCTACAGAGTAAATAGCAGCTATTAACTCACTTCAATGCACTCAACAGTCCTATATTCTTCTTATGGGTGAAGACACTAGCATGAGTTTGCCTGTAAGGTGGGTGTCCTGTGGGTTATGTAAGTGTGGTACACTTCCGGTGAAGATTGGCATGTGCAGGAAACAATTTCAGAGGTAACCTCACAATCAGGAAGTGGAATTGGAGGCATCTGTTTGTGGAATTAAGATGAGTAATAGATGGAGAAGGAATCATTTCATTAAATACACTTCCTCTGTTTCTTAGTGGGCGAGTAAGTAAAGGGAATAAATTATACGGTGTGAATTATTTTCTAAGCTTAGAGGAATCATTCTGAAATGTTAACCTCACCCCTTTCCCGCAACCTCCCATTCATATCCAGACTCTGGATGAATAACCAGAGTACAGCCCCTGTGCTCTGCCCCAATAAAATAAGAGCAAAGCTGTCCATTCTCCACCAATCCTTCAAAACACAAGGCAGAAGAAAATAAATACTCACCTATGTTTGGGTGATTCAAACATTTCATTATTCTTACTTCTCTGAAAAGCTGAAAGAAAAAGTAAGGAGAAATACTTCAATACTGTCGTTGAGCCATCAATTTTACTTTGTTTCCCTTTCCCCCATTGGTTTGAACTCCTTTATATTGTTTTCTGGGCTAAGCATCTGCTAAGAGAACAAATGAGCCATTTCCAGGCCTTTGCCAATACTCCAATGACCCAGCTGCCAAGGATTATATAAAAGTATTCCTGAGTTGATGGTCTGTCTGTCTTTCCTTTCTACAAGTGAAAAGACATCTCGCTTTCTCTCAACATTTCCCAAAGGATATATTTACATTACATTAATTACATTACATTAATCCATGTTCACTATCTCAAACCAATGCAATTCTGTGGCAAAGTTATGTCTTAAGATCAATTAACTGGAGAGAAAAACACATCACCGCAATTATTATCAACACATCTTCCAAGTTCAGCTAAAATTATACTGATGAGAGAGAAGGGTGGTGAAAAATTCCAATTCCATCAACTGGTTAGTCCCAGACACCTAAACCGAATGAGATTTCCTCATGGTTTATACAGTGCTCCATAGAAATCAATTCAAATCAGAGCTGACCTGATTTTTAGCTTATATTCGCAAGTGGAGGATAAAATCAATTAGATACAATCCCATCCCTGTCTTTGCTCATTAAAGTCACTTCAACAAATCAGGCCATTTTATTTTAGTAAAATAGATCTCCCTCGTCTAACAAATAAGTAACTCCCTTTTCACATTTCACAGTACTGCTTTCCTATACTTCTCTGTAAAAGCAAATAGCCATTTCACCAACATTAAAGAAATTCCCAGTTTAAGAACATCAGCAAGAATTGAACAGCTGGAAACTGAAAACACAATACATTATTTAACACAGGGAAACTGCTTTATACAGCAGTAATTACCCTGTTTGGGACTGCAATCTCCAACAACCAACTACAGTTGAGCATGTGGGTTATAACTTCAGTCTACCAACAGGCCTCCATCAAATTTGTTTATACTAAGAATTCAGAATTGCTCACTTAAAAAACAAGCCTATGGGAGGAGATGGAAACTTTCTCTAAAAAAATCAAAAATTAATCTGGGGAAACCACCACCATTCTTTTCTGGACCAGTTGTAATTATGCAACAAATATAAAAAGAATGCATACAGGTACAGTATGAATGCATATTATTGCCAGAAACACAGAAACACCAAAGTACTTATCTAAACAGTCAACACATGATAGAAATACTTACACATACCTACAGATTATTCCAGATTGCAAATTGAGTCTAGAGAATAACTGCTAATAGTGGATACAGCATAAGCCTTCAGCTTGCTTTCGCAGATCACAACCAAAGGGATAAAAAAATATTTTGCCACGCTGCCTTAGAATCTGGTTTACCTAAAATTCTACCAGCAGTCAACTCCTTTAGCTTTCAAATAATCTGTATTCTAATTAAATAGCAACAATGCTGCAAACAGAATGAGATTTCCTCTCTAGAGATGCATAATATGGTGATAGGTAAAACTAGGGCACTGACGGTTCTAGAGGAATGAAACGGTTCTATTTTAGACCAAACCAAAGATGTCAATTTAAGATTACTCTCGAGTGCAAACAAGATGGGTCAATCACCAAAGTACACTTATGCTATCATAATTCCATCTTAGTAATCAAATACAGCATTTGCATATATTATCCACTAACGTTCTAGCATACCACATTAAATCATAGTTTGAAATCACACCTGTACTTGCCTCTTGTAAAAGTAAGAGTCTGACCACATGGACATTGCGTTTCCAGTACAATACCTAAGAAACAGTATTTAATTTGTATCCCATCCTTGAGATGGATAGTTCAATGATTTGACTTTTTAAACTGTGAAGGGGAAAGCAAAGCAAGCTACACACTTAGTGCTGAAATACAAGAATGGAAGCTCCACAAAGTCCATATTTTTAATTTGTCAGTTATGTCTGAATGCCATAAATCTCCCAGGCCAGCAAATTAGTGGCACGAAATGTTGTATTAATTACTAAAAGCACCATTCATATAGTTTAGAGGAAATGAAGAGCAGGAAACCTGAATAACTTCCCTATAGAGCTGTGTGGTCGATGCACCAGTGCCTTTTCCATTTATCGTCACCTTCTTCTTCTATTACCAGACCAATACTCCTTTGGTTAATTTCCTATTAACTCTATTATACTTAATCCTCTTGCTTTTGTAGGCGATCACAAACTAAGTGGCAGAAAGATCTTTAAGCTCTCTAATACAAGTGGTTTATACAGTTGGGCAACCCAATGCTCACCATTAAGGGTGTCAGGTTACGTTCCAAGGCTGCTAAGTGCTCAAACCTTAACACAGCTGGTTGCAACTTTTGTCAGTTGTCACCTGGCTACAAGATAGAGCTCCAACAGTGGAGAAACAAATAGAAAATGCCACAGGTCTGCCAACTCAAGTTTTGGAGTCAGGAACAACAGGATGTATCTGCATAAAGTCCAGAAGAACAGGAAGGAAATGGATATACGGCTACAAGCTTTCTGCTACAAGAAGAAGCTTACAATTTACACGTCTGATTTAAGACTCTCCACTGGTAGGAACACAGTAATGCGTTAAATGCTAAACAGATGCTCATGAAAGGTCATGGTCTCTATGATCTCAAAAAAACATGTTTTCATCCAGTTAAGTAATTTGTCAAAGAAAATAAAAGCTACAATTACATTTTATTGTGTGTAACACTACAGCCTCTTAACATGCAATCACCGGAGGTGGTATGCAGATATGTACTTATTAAACTTCAGCTGCCGTGGAAAGAGCGCAGTCTGCATTTGGATCTGGGGATCCCAATCCAATTCCTCGACTAGAAATTCATCCAGAATTAACTTGAGCTTTCTCTACAGCTACGATTATGCAATATTAAAATGGACTAATAAATTCCCAGTTATACATTATCATATTGATGATGCTTTTCAGCAATACTCAAAATCAGTGACAAACTTGTAAAGTGAATTTGTATGCAATAAATCAGCAGTACAATTCAGGATTGCCCACATCCATCAGGTGCCCAAACTATATTTAAATATGAAGACTTTAATTCACATCCTACACTACACTGAATCTACACTCATCCTTGATGCAGTTGAATATCATAAGTTGGGTGCCCTCGGAACCCTTTTTTCAGAAAATGGTATCAACACTTCTTGCATAGGAAGGCAGCCATTTTAGCTTTGTATCCCATTAGAACACAATGTTTTGCTCACGGACCCAAAACAGTACATTATAACAAGGATCTTCTCTATTTTATTTCTGAAGCTTTAAAGTAACAGACTTTCAAATAACTAGTCCTATGCAATTTAAGAGGTCAACCAAGGAAAGTTCATTAGTCAAGGCCTGAATGTTGAATCAAACCTGACCATGTAAAACAGATTATATACCAGCACAAAACACCTGGCTGGAGATTGAGGGGTTTATTTCCTGACAGCACAAGCTCAAATCTATTTTGTGCATTACCCCTGCCTTCCTCAAAATGTTGCAAGCACATGCAAGTTTTTTCTTCCCTTTCATTGTCTGCAGCATCATAAAATGTTTAATCCACAGCAATTCATTTAAACAGTACTCCGAGAAGTAAATATTTTAAGCGTGGAAAGCCTAACCTATTCTGACATTTTTCTGTACATGCACTGAGCAATACCCTTGTGCACTCAAAGCAGACGCACATGCAATGTATCTGGTATGTGTGCATAGTTGTATCAGTCCAGTTAGAGCACAGCCCATGAATGGAGGCACTCTATAGTATAATCACAGGATGGATCCACTGAAATCAGAACTCTGATAACCAATTTTGTCTCAACAAAAACAGATTTTAAACTGAATTTCTACAGCTTGTATTTAGCAGCCTTCCATAAGGCTTGAAAGCTACATCAAACATGGGGGTTTCTCATGGATTTTTCATTTAGATTCAGGATGTTATAAGAAAAATAAATTTCTGGGTGGTTAGTTTGATTCCATTAAATGTTAATTTCACGAACTCCACATTTCGTGACGATATAAATATTGAAATGTACAATTACTGGACTTCAGCACTCTGCTTAGTCTAAATGCCTAGCTGTGCTTCAAATGGTACCACAATGAAGTTGGCGATCAAAAATCCATACTTGTGAAAGTGCTTCAAATTAGCATGATTGATTGAAAAAGCAATGTATGTAACACAATAGCTTTACATAGTTTAAAGTTAGAAACACAGAATAGCAATTGCGTGTGTTAACTTGTATTTTTTCCACAAACTCTAATGTCCACCTCCTTTCCCATTTCTTATTCTCTCTCCAATCAATCTCAAAGCTAAAAGATACAAATATAAAATGGAAAATGAGAAATCCAGTTGATTTCAATTGGTTTCAAACTGCAATATAATACCAGTTAAACATGACCCGTGATTTATGTGGCTACAGGCTCTCTCTGAATGGCTGAATATTGCGGCATTTTCATTTTGGGAGCAGGAAACATTGAAGCATTGATTTTAATTAAAAAAAAATCCTCCCCCAAATTTTACTTGTTAAAGGCTTCATTGTGTAGTGAATGGCCCAACTAAGAGTAAAATAAACACAGAAACATGGCAATTAAGCTTCCTTAAATTGCAGAGCTCAGCATATTGATAGTACTTCCCCCCCACCCTCACTATTAATTAACCAAAGAGGCATGCATCAGCTTGGACAACAAGTATTAAACCGTTGGGTTGCAACAGCTGAGTCCAATCCTGTCCTCATCCAACATTCACACATGCGTTCATCCAACAAAAGTCACTGGATAGCAATTGGCAGGGATTATTCCCAACCCAGCAACTTGAACACAGACATCATATCTGATGCATTTTGCACACAGTTGCAAAACAAATTAAACACGTGATGCATGTGTCGATCGCAGCCCCTACTAATTCCGCACTGACCAGTGGTCAAATCTGGGACCTTTCTGGTTTGTATTAGAAAGTACTAAATCACAAGATTCATTTTCTGAAATGCTTGATCTCATCCGCACTCAG